CGTTGACGTGCACCCCTTGGGATCTTGCCGAAGCTATGACTGATCAGCATGCTGCTAACTCAGCACTGGGCCAGTTTGTGGATATACCGCATTTTTGGTACTGCGGTATAAGCCGGACGACATTTGAGCCAACGCAAGCGGTATGAAAGACGATACGGAAGAATTAGGCCTTTCTCATAAAGGGTTGTAAATGCAACTTAGTTGCCTGCTTGTTTTATTTAAATCTTTATTATATGCAGTGAGGAGGTCGGCGATGGAATCAGGTGGAAATGTACGTATGGATTGAGAGATAGTGACCCAAAAACCATATTTTCAAACCTTTCTCCGGTTCGCTATCCATGGATTTCTCGGTGGCCCGCACCTAATATCATGTCTTCACGTCCCTCGATTTCTCATGTGTCTTTTCTTCCCCTTCATTGCCCTGATGCGTGCTTGGCTAGCTTCAGTAGTAGATTGTGGTCGGCCACAAATTTAGCATGCAGAGCTAATCTGGTGGTAGCGTTAGTCAACTTTGCTGTGAACTCTGAAAGTAAACAAAAAACTAGAATTTACTTGTTGCATATTACTATTTTTCTTGTCGTTTTTTTCTTGGCCAGGATGAAGCAACCTGCCTGTATCTGTGCGGTTGTACTTCTGAACTTGGGTTGCGCCGCGCCATCTAACAACCAACCTTCACGAGGCGTGGAAAGTTCTCACCCGACCAGCTCTTCTCCGTACATACAGCCGTCTCTGGATGCCAACAGATATATGGTTGCGGACGTGAGCCGCGCGCATAACAGGACGAAGACCCAGGGTACGGAATCTGACGTAAAGTGCGAATCGACGGATTACAATCAGCTGGAATACAAGGACGGCGTTGAAATGCTCAAGATATTCTGTCAGAAGAACTGGGCTATGAGCGGATCGGTGTATGCGGCTGTCGTGGGTACCACAGCCGTGTATATCTGCGCTGGAGAGGATTCCAATGAAGTTTGCGAGTTGATGGAGTGGAATGCAGCTGAGCAGCTGATCGACCAACGCTGCGGGACTGGGCACATGGGCGCTGCGCGGGTGAACAACAAGATGTATGGGAGGGGAAGTCCTGGCAACTACAAATGCTAATTTTGGACATTACAACTTTTAAGTGAAGTTGGCATTTCCTTGTTGTTACGCGTGGGCTGATGAACTCGAGACGCGGTGCACACTTGAGACGGATGTGGTGCCACGCGCGCCAAGAAATTATCGCTGGCAAAGACGTTACGTACAAATAAATCTACAGAGGAGAGGTAAATATACGATTCCTTGTCCCATTAGAACATGAAAGGGGCATACCGTATACATATTGACAATAATTCTTTTCACTTCTCACTTTATGAGGTCGGTGTTGAGGCGGAAGACAATCACGTGATTAATACAGAGGTGCGTAGAGAGCTTTGGGTGGGTTGTGCGAGCTTTGGCGCGTCAAGTAAAGAATTTAGAGAATATCGAACTTTTTCGTAACGAGGAGCTCTGACTAACACCACAGCGAAAATCAATCGTCAATACAGCGATGCGATGAATTGAGCAGTGCTTTCCTACGTTTCTGTCTCTCAAACGTAATTAGCACGTACTGCTGCCGGGTGCCAATCCGCTACACTGTACAGCTTTGCTTCCAGAGCCATCATGACTTCATTTACGACGACTCCTCGCATTCGTCGAACGGGACAAAATACGCACTTTACGTGAGTCATGTGATAGTTTGTATTTTCACGAATAAATACAAACAGACGCTAACAACTGCCAACTACAGATATAATCTATCACGACGTGTAAATGATGTGCAAACATATCCGATCCAATCGCCCCAGGGAGCCACGATTCTGCTTTATGGCCACGAAAATGGCGTAACCATCGTTTGGCGGGGTGGACGGAGACTCAAACGCCAAAAGAAGAGCCCCGAACCTGAAAAAAAGCAAAATGGAACCTCTGATGATGCCGTCATGGTTATCGACTCTGACGACGAACAACCACCTGCCAAAGCTCAAACCGTTCACAAGTTTGAGGATAAACCCGAGTTTGAGGATGAGGACGAAGAAGTACCGTATCCAGAAATCGTGCAAACGTTGGACTTGACGCTGGGGACCGCCGTGTTGCATGTGGCTGTCATGTCGATGGCGCCTTACAATCCTCAAGATCGACAAAATGCGACAGGGGCTTTGCTGTCGGACAAAATGGTGTTCGCAGTTTCATGTGTGACGAATGATGTCTATGTTATCACACTTCCTCTGACACCGCCGTCCTTTGAGAGTAAAGCGAGGGAAGAGCTTCGGGCGGGCTTGTTGGCCGGACAAGCTGGCTCCGGAGCTTGGGGAGAGTCTCTGGTTTTGCTTAGTGGCCAGAGGAGGTACAGTGATGGACTGGCTATCAGCTTGGTCCAGCCGAAGTCCTCAGATCCTGATAGCAAGGCGCCTAGGGCCGTGGTCGCATCGTGCTCTCGCCAGGCATCTGGGACTCTAATGCTCTGGGATGTGCCGTTAGATCCAAAGGCAAGGCCTGAACGGGCAATTGAGCCCTTTCAGACCGAATATCTTCCCCAGCCTCTCTCCAACGTCTCGTTCAACCCGTCACATCCCACACAGCTGCTGACAATCTCTCCGTATCAGGCCGCGAGGATATATGACTTCGCCGTGTCCTCTGTTCCTCCTGACCCAGAAGCTATTGGGCCTTTCCCACCACAAGGCTCATGGCTGCTCTCATTATATCAGCCGTTTGCTCGACCAACTTCTTCCAGGAAACCAATTCTGGATGCGGTATGGATATCACATGGCAGAGCCATCTTTGCACTTCTTGCAGATGGCATGTGGGGAGTTTGGGACGTCGATGGAGTTAGGTCGTCCTCTGGAGGCGCAGCCATGTCAAGTAAACTAGCACATGGCCTGAAAGGCGCTGCTCTGACGACCTTTAGTATTTCGGGCTACATCGAGGGAACGGGCTCCCTGCGAAGTGTCGCAACTCAGCAAAAGGAGAACCACACTGGAGAATTTGCGCCAATGACTCCTCACACTCGTCGCCAGGCTACTGCTTCCTTGAGCTCCACTACCACATTTGACCGTTTGGCTGCAGTTCGAGGTGGTATAAGGACGATTGCCCTGCCACCCAGAGGAAAGGCCTTGCAGGAGGAGAGTCTAGTATTGTGGGTGGGCGGCCTGGAGCACGTCTGTGTTATTCCAATAGTATCGAGATTCTGGGATTCACAACTCCGAAAAGGTTCTGGCGGCGGTGTAAACCTATTTAGTGGAGCACAGCCCACGAGAATGGTGAAACTAGCAGACCTCTCTACTGGACTGTTGGGAGAGAGATGTTGCGGCGTCGGCCTGGCTCCGGCATCTTTCAAATCTGGGACATCATCGGAAGAAGATGGCGGATTGCCTGTGGATGTTTTGATTCAGGGCGAGTCTCGACTGATTATTGTTCGCCAGGGAGAGGACGGACCAGGGAAGAAGATCGCAAAACTGGTTGATAGCCGGAGAAGACGGCTGTTCTCGGAAGGAGAGAGATCAGATGCCATCATCGTTCACGGTAACCCAGAGAGAACCACAAGCTTTTCATTTAATCTCAGCACTTCGAAACCTGGGACTTTGAGACGCAAACCTTCGCAAAGCAAGAAGGACGATTCTACTGGACAGTTTAGAGGCTCGGATTATACATTGCAGCTACCAAACCGCTCCCGCGTAGGCTTTGACTTCATGAGCGACCTGAATGCGGCTGCAGACGTCAAAGACGATGTTACTGCCCGAAACGTGGAAGCTGAGATGCTTGACATTATGGAGATTGATCAAGTGCTGGACAACATGACGGATAGCCGGGGAAGCAGACGGAAGAAGGTGTTCTTCGAAGAAGACTGAGAAGTTGAATATTGCTGAGATGACTGACTAGACAGTGTATGATAATACGAGGTGGCTTGACCCAGAAGGTACCATGTACGATACCCAGAGATGAGAATTGATGGCAAGACGGCCATATGAGAGGAGACGCTGAATACGTTTGCTCCCGTGCCTCTGATGCATCTACAGTTTTGGCAAGGACATATGTTATCCATCGCCAGGTTTGCGCAAAGATGCTGCGGCATGTGTCGGCCCCCTTTCAGGTTGATTACCTGTCACCTCCCACTATATGCATTTTTTGGCTCAGTTAACGTCTTTTGTCGTGTTTTATCTGACTTCCGCACGGCAAGGTGGAGCGCAAGGCGAGAATCATCCTTGACGTCTCTGTATTCCGAGCGGTATATCAACCAAACCATATGCAATACAGTTGTGTATGTTCGATGGCGTTCTACGTAGGACGAGGGAAGAGGAGGGCTTGTTTGGACTGGATTCATTCGTGGGTCTGAGTTCATGTCTTGGCCGAGTAGCTCTGTTATCTTTCGTTGACTGTACTGGTTTCTGGTATGGTCGATGGAGGGGGGTTGCACCTGGCTGAGCAAGACGCCTTCGAGACATTTTTTGACGTGACGATTTGATAAATGCGTTGCCATATAGAGTGGTGTTTGGCACTGGACGACGCTGAGTGAGCCCGCACCCTGTGACGTGACGTGACGTAAGAGCCTTGAATGCATCTGTGTATGGGTAAGAGGCGTGTTAAGGCGTCTATCTATCTATTAGACTTATAATACTTCCTTTCCATGCCAATGCGTGTTCCTGGTCTCGTTGCATTCAATGTTGTTTCAGCCAAGCAAATGATAGGCCACTGACCGTAGGCAGCACCGAAGTGGGGTCACTTTAAGAGCTCTCGCGAAAGAGCGCGTCAAGGTTGCCGAATTTCTGGGGCAGCGCGTCACTTTGCCATCCAAGTTCCTCTGTCAGGGCAGCTTCAATCTCACATACTTGTTCCCAATTGCCAAGTCCACACAGGCACAACTTCAACCAGCCATCAGCGAATTCGCGCCTACATGTTGCAGAAGTTCTGCTTTTCACTCTCTTCATCACTTTACCACAAAAACACCTAAGCTGCTGGCCATTAGGGTCCGATACCACGCGGCAATCATGGGTATCAAGCAGCTCTTCCAGATCATCAAGGAGGAAGCTCCTGAAGCCATCAAGGAGGGAGAGATCAAAAACCACTTTGGTCGGAAAGTAGCTATTGTACGCTTATCTACCTCCGCTTGACCGCACTTTTTTTCTCTCTCTTCGCATGCGACTCACATTACGCGACAGGATGCTTCGATGAGCATATACAGTTTCCTTATTGCCGTGCGCTCCGATGGACAACAGCTGATGAACGAAAGCGGCGAGACGACGTCCCACCTAATGGGAATGTTTTACCGCACATTGCGAATGGTCGACAACGGCATCAAGCCGCTCTACGTGTTTGACGGTGCCCCGCCAAAGCTCAAGTCTGGCGAGTTGGCAAAGCGATTTCAGCGCAAGCAGGAGGCTACAGAGGGCTTGGAGGAAGCCAAGGAGACGGGCACGGCCGAGGATGTAGAGAAATTTTCGAGGCGGACTGTGCGCGTGACGAGGGAGCACAATGCTGAGTGCCAGCGACTGTTAAAGCTCATGGGTATTCCTTTCATCATCGCCCCCACGGAAGCCGAGGCGCAATGTGCGGTTTTGGCGAGGGCTGGCAAGGTCTATGCTGCAGCTAGCGAGGACATGGATACGCTGTGCTTCAATACTCCGATCTTGTTGAGGCATCTTACTTTTAGTGAACAGCGGAAGGAACCTATTCAAGAGATTCATCTTGACAAGGTTCTTGAGGGATTAAACATGGAGAGATCTCAGGTGAGTTTCCCTACTTCAAAGATTGAGATACTAGGTTACTATGACGGGAAGTTTGTCCGGCTAACGAAAGCTCTGCGTCTTCAAAAAACAAAGTTTGTCGACTTGTGTATTCTCCTCGGTTGCGACTACCTTGATCCGGTTCCTAAGATCGGCCCTACAACAGCCTTGAAGCTCATTCGCGAGCATGGAACGCTTGAAAAAGTGGTGGATGCTATTGAGAGGGACCCGAAGAAGAAGTACACGCTGCCCGAAGACTGGCCTTACAAGGATGCACGAGACTTGTTCTTCGAACCCGACGTTCGAAAAGCAGATGATCCGTTGTGCGATTTCAAATGGGACAAGCCTGATGTTGAGGGACTCGTTACATTTCTTGTCACGGAGAAGGGGTTTTCTGAGGACAGAGTCCGCGGTGCGGCTGCTCGGCTGGAGAAGAACCTCAAGACATCGCAACAAGCGCGACTGGAGGGCTTTTTCAAGCCGATTCCCAAGACGGATGCGGAAAAGGCTGCCCACAAGAGGAAACTGGACGAGAAGAATGAGGAAAAGAAGAAGAAGCTGAAGCAGGACAAGAAGGACAAGGCGGCTCAGAAAGCGAAGCCTCGAGGAACGGCTTAAGGCGCAAGCATGTTCGGATTGACTATGGAAGTATCGACTTACGGTTGTGGGAATACAGTGGTTAGCTGCGTTAAAACGATTGAGGGATCTGGATTGTTCTGAGGCAATGGTTTTGCCCAGGCGCAGACCTTCACATGGCCTAACTCGGGGGATATGTGGAACGCATGTGGAATTCGGAGTTATCTAGGTATGTTCGCATTAGGGAATAAGGGATAGGGAATAGGGCATCTGATTTGCTTCTTTTGCTACAAGTCCGGAGTACGATGGTCGGGTGTGAGGTGGTGCATGCAATGTTGCTTTGTTTTGCCATTGAGGCGGAGGACCTGTCAATTATTAATGGCTACTCCACGATTGATGGCACAAGGGCACTTCGGGCGGCTGATAACTTAGTACTACTCGTGTACCAAGGCATTCGGCCAACTACAGGGCTAGTGATATTTTCATCATTAATTGCTAGTGAGTTCCCCGTGCGTGTTTGCGAATCTGTGTGAGGATGCACGTATCTTATTATCCCGGGGAGCTACTCCAAAGCCGGCAAGCCATGTGCCATGCTGCTCAGGTGACAGCCTCGGGGGTCTAGTTTTGGAGGGCGTAGTTGGCAATGCTGCGGCCCTGACTGGTGGAGAGCAAATAATCAGTGCCAAGAGCACTGAGTGCCAAAAGTGCCTCGGTCAACTCGGTCAATGCGGAGGGCGACCCACTGGGCTCAGAGGTCAAGGGGAGGCCGTGTGGTGGTGTCTGGTGTGTGGCTACACGACCGCCATGACGGCAGGGTCCCTTGCCCACCACCCAT